TATTAAAGTCTATAGTCCTTGATTTTCTGCAGCAAGCTCTTGGTGTCCTCCTCAGTTTCAGCAAGCAAGATTATGTTATCTTTATAATACAAGTGGTTGAAGAGTCTTTCTATAATCCTAATGCCATAGTCTTCCTTATAAAGGCCAACTTTTTGAATTATTTGCTTAACATACAGATCAAATAAATATGGATAAAGATATAGCCTTGAAACACATTCTTTTTTTTCTCTTTCTTTACTGAGATTTTAATGAAAGTTTGACGAGAACTTGGATTTACATTCATTCATTGTTGCACATTCCCCCCCCCCCCTCTTAGTTTGCTTTTCTCTTTGGAAAAAAAATTGTTTTCTTCTTATGCAGTCCCACCCCCAGTCCACTTTACTATGCAGTACTTAGTTTGGACTCTTGTCATACCAATAATACTTAATCATATAATCCTTTCTTTTATATATTTCTCTCCCTCATCTGTTTCAATGCCAATTATAATGTTTATTCCCTCTTTTCTTAGTTTTCCCCAACCCCCATCTTTCCTGATTTTAAACCATGTAGTGTTTCCTTGCCCTGTTCATACAACAGCTTCTTGTTCTAGGTATCAATTTCATATAAGGATAGTTCAGTGTTTGAAATTCCCATACTTCTCAATTGCAGCTGTAGTTTGTTATGATCCACGCAGTAAATGGCTCTGCATATTCAATAAAACACAAATAGGCATTCTTTTGGTATTCTTTGACTTCTGATAAGATCTTTCTGATACCAACAAGTATATTTCTGATGCCATGGCCTCTTCTAAACCCAGCTTAAAGTTCTAATAGTTCTTTGTCATTGTACTGTTCTAGCTGATACTGGGTGATCTTCAGAAATCATTTTCTTGAATATGATATGAATATTATTTGATAATTTCTGTATTATTTTGTATCACCTTTCTTGGCAAAGGGAATAAATGTGGATCTCTTCCAGTTAGTCGGTCCGGAAGCTATTAGAATGACTAGGTGTGATCTGTTTGGTATGTGACCACCCAAACATTTTGTTTTATATTTTCAGGTATTTATATCTATTAGAAAATGTTGAATGGACTTTGGTGTTCTTTATTTATATCATTTAATACATATATAAGTGATGATGTTTGTAAATTAGCAATCTAGTATCAAATTCCCATTCCAAATTGCTCATTTCAGTCTTCTATCCACACATGTCCATGAAAGTGCTATTTTCAAGGTTATAAATTAAGTACATACTGTTCTGATATAGGCCATGGTCTTTGCTGTCACTTGTTATACATCAGAGAGTTGGACAATGACTAAGGAGGATAGATGGAGAATTGATGCCTTTGAGCTGTGGTCCTGGAGAAGAGTATTGAGGGTACCATGGACTGCTAGGAAAACAAACAGATTCATCCTGGAAAGG